GCGGGGGCGGGGGTGGGGGCAAGGAAGGGGGTGCGCCCGAACCCGAGCTCGACCTGACGGCGAACGTCGTCGCCCAAATCCGCGTCGACGCGCAGACCGCCGCGCGCATCCACTCGCACGTCCGCCTCAAGGTCGCATCCCCCATCGAGGGCCCGCTGAGCGACCGCGCGGCTGCGGTCGTCGATGCGGTCGTCGATGCGGTCGTCCTGCGCGCGTCCCGGGGCGAGCTGTACCTGCAGCCGCTGCAGCCGCTGCCGCCGGAGTACCAAAGGGTCGACTGGCACCTCTACAACGCCGGCAGCATCGCGACGTCCAGGGCGATGATGGACGCCGTCGCAAGGCTGTCTGGCGACGGCTCAGAGTGCTGTGCCTTCAGCGAGGTCATCACGGGAAGCGCGGCGCCAGTCGACCCTGAAAACCTCGCAGAGGAGGATGCGCGCGACCTGCCGGGTGAGATGGAGGCTCTGAACGCAAGCCAGGCTAAGGCGGTGATGTCTGCGGCGGCAGACACACTGGCGCTGATTTGGGGCCCTCCGGGTAAGCAGGCAGGCGCGCATGTGGTGGGCAGGTGTGCTGAATGGTTCGGCGGCGTCGCACACAGGAACCGGAAAGACCACTGTCGTCGTGCAAATCCTCCTGCGGTTTCTACGCGAGGACGCTGAGTCCAAGATCTTGATGACGGCGTCTACGCACAACGGTGCGTGTTCCGATGCGTAGGCGGATGGCGTTTTGGTGCGCGTGCTGATGGTATCACAGCTGTGGACAACGTCCTGGAGCGGTTCCTGGTGGCGAACGAGTCTGCGGGGCTGCTCAAGCACGAACAGATCCTGCGCGCGGCGACTGAGAGCTCAAAGGTGAACAAAAGCCTGCAGAAGTACACGATTGATGCGCGCGTCGGCGGCAGTCTCGCCGACAATCCGAAGCTCGTAAAGAAGGCCGAGCAACGGGTGAAAGAAGCCCGGATCGTGTTCACGACCTGCAGCGGCGCAGGACTGGGCATTCTGCGCAACATGGACTTTGAGATTGTCCTGATTGATGAGGCGTCGCAGATCACAGAGCCTTGTGCGTTGATACCCCTCGTGAAGGGCTGTCGGCGGGCGGTGCTGGTCGGAGACCAGTGAGTGTTGCCACATGTCGTCACTCGGTGTGCCATTTCTGAACCGCAGGCGCCTCCAGCGTGCAGTTGCGACCCACAGTTCGACCCATGGGCAAAGCGCTAGAATTTGATCGTTCATTGTTTGAGCGACTGTACACCGGACCGGTCTTCCCTCGCGTGTCTCGAATGATGCTGGATGTGAGTGAGTTTGATCCCTGTACCGCCGTAAATGACGTTGATTGCGGTCCGTTCTCCGTATGACGCGGCAGGTGCAGTACCGGTTCTCAGAGGACCTCGCTCGCTTTCCCTCCGGAGAGTTCTACGAGGGTCGCTTGCAGACAGGTACTGACCGCCTGGCGGAGGTAACTGCAGTGCTTGGTGCGTCATCCTTTCCTTGGCCGCCCTCACGATCCCGCCGGGAGGAGCTCTTCCCCGTCGTCTTCGTCCCATGTGCGTCAGAAGAGGACTTTGGGCGGTCGTCAAAGGGGAATTCGGGGCAGGTCGATCTTGTCAAATACATCGTCTCGTTGCTGCGTCGGCCCCGGCGCAGCGACAACATGGGAGTCGACGCCGTGCAGGCCAACGAGGAGCGTGTCCAGTCCGTATCGATAGCGGCACTGTCGCCGTACTCGCGCCAGGTGCAGATGCTGAAGCAGGAGATCCCATCTCCAGCTAATGTCACAGCGAGCACGATCGATGGATTCCAGGGGCGTGAGGCTGACGTCGTTGTGTTCACTACGGTCCGGTCGAACGTGGAGGGCGACATCGGTTTTGTCGAGGACGCACGGAGACTGAACGTCGCATGGACGCGTCCCAGGCTCGGCTTGATCATTGTGGGGAACCGCAGCACGCTGCAAGCGAACAGCGCGTTGTGGCAGAGGGCGCTGCAGGCTTGCGAAGAGGTCGCGATTACCCTTCCGGAAGCTGTGTAGGCAACGCTTGTCAGATTATGTGCTTTCTGATGCTTAACGGGAACGCATTTTGTGCGGAGTTGCATCATCGCACTGTAGATTGGAAGCGCACCGTTCGTTGTGACCCTGAGCGTTTGATCGTAATGAGAAACATCGTCGTGGACATGTACGTCCCTGAACACAGTGAATCATTCGGACCGGTCCCTGTGTGCCGGTTGCATTGTGAGTGACCACATAATAGATCGCCTCATGCCCATCTGACGTAGGATGCGTGTAGTCTATATTGAAAAGGCGCTAATCTATCCACGCTTAACGAAATCCGGAGAACTATTCTATGCTACATCTACTCTATGAACTAACCGAGAGGTGAGAACCGATAACGATGATTCAGCGGGTATATGTGCAGCACGCCATCTATTCTGCGTGTGAGCACCCCAACCGCGAAATCAAGGCAGGAGCGCGCTCTTGCTTTTCTCCGGGTTCTCCTTCTGTTCTTTCAGGGAAGCGTGCAGCTCCTCGATGCGCGAAGAGTCGCGCGCCCAAGTAGGACGCGGGACGCGGAACATGTCACCCTGGCGGGCGTAGGTGATGTCACCCATCTTGCCCACTGCGCGGAGCTTCACAGGGTCCACGTAGCCGCGAGCGTTGAGCATGTCTGCGCGGATGTGGATGTACTTGACGAGTCCGAGGATAAGCGTGGTCGTCACCGCGCCAGTGTCGGGATGCGCGAGGTCGTGGATCTGGTAGAGCTGCGAGAGAAGCATGTCAGTCAGGTTCTAGCGTCGCTGCAGGAGGGAGAGCGTACTTCGCATTCCATGCTGAATGCGCTTTCTTTCACGCGGGGCGCCTCAACGTGAAGCTGTTGACGTGATCAGCACTCAGGATGCGTTGAATAAACGGGCGGTACGTACGCTGGGTTCAGGTGTAAGTCCGCTGAGAGGCCACTCGCTTGTCTCGGGGGGCGTATCGACCGCACATGCGTTTGCATTGTGGATGAATGGCTCGCTGATGATGTTCACGGTAAAGCCCTTCGTTGCCTTGATGTTGTCTGCGGTGTCTTTCAAGCCACCGGGCAGGTTGAGGAGGGAAATGGATACAAGTGGTGGGTTTCCAGTCAACTAGTGATGTGTAAATAATACGATTCGATGCGACGAGACGAGAATTTTACCATGTTGAACCAGCTGCATTGAAAATGCCGGGAGTCCGCGTGAGGCAAAAACATGCCGAGAATGGCAAGCCACTTACCTAAACGGCGCAAGATTCTCTACGCCATTGGGCGAAATGCTGGAGACGAATGCGATAGGGCGAGGGACGATGCCAGTGATCATGAGAGCATACTAGAATATCATGAGAATACAAAAATGCGTGACTGGCGCAGTGTTCTTACAAGTTTGCTGTCGGGATGGCCGCGTTAGCTACTTGTTGACGCGCGTCGAGTGGGTACACAACTCACTTTGGATCCTCGCGGGACGCGTCGACGACCTTCCACCCAGCCTTCTCACCCTCTAACCACTCCCTCCCCTCTGGTGTTGCATCAACGCGTTGGCCGAGCGTCCACTCTGGATTCGGGGCTTCGATGAACTTGGCCTGAGCGGAGTGCACGAACGGAGCAAGTTGTTCGGAAGACATTGTTGACTTTGATCGTGAGCGGAGGCAATTAGAGTCGAGATACAGGCTGGAAGTTTGAGTCCGAGAGATGCACCGAGGCCGCCTTATGTACCTCCAAGCCTTGCAGTACGTCCCTATAGCGATGTTCATCGTTCAAGTGCACCGCGGCTTGTATCAGCCAGTGACTGCCGATAAGCTCACTCAGCGCTGACAATCCACTCATCGTTTTGCATAAGCAGGACCATGAGGGAGCTAAAATCCCACAGCGTAAGATAACCGAATTCCCACCGAGTGGCGGTTCGAAGAGCCCAAGCCAACAAGGATGAGGAGACGTTGGCGTCGGCGCAATACTCTCTACCGCAGAACGTGCCCTCCATCTCCATCTCACGGCGGCCTCCTCCATTTTGCGTTGATCGTACCCGGTCTGGATTACGAGTCGTTCACACGGCCGAATAACTTACTGAGTCCGGCAAACCACTGCCCGTGATGTGCTGACGCCCTTCCTTTTCTTTGTTCTCACATCGCGTCAGTTTTCCATGCAAGCGCTGCTGCGAGGCTCGCAGATAGGTTGCTCTGCTGAATATTGTTTGCCCAGGTACTTCACTAAACATTTTGCCGATCCCTCGGCCGAATGGGCGATTACCAAGCCCGAAGACATACGGACCTTTCAATACCGGCAAATCTTTTGTTGAAGGTTGATATTGTGAGGCGCAGGCACTGCTGCCAGCATCCGAAATACTGGTGACAGCAGACGGAAGAAATGCGCCAGTGTAACTGGCGCTTCTGTACCTCAATGTGAGTTTGCTCTCCAATTTCGTCATCAATACGCTAGTTTCTTGCTAGTTCCGAGAGCATCGCAGGTTATATCAGACGGACCTTCCTCGTACCGGGACCGTGCTTGCTTAGCGTGTGATTCTTGGCTCTCATGTCAGGGATGTGCGAGCATACTCTTTACATGACTTCTAGTGCGCAGTTTCCCACCTGTTGTTATCCGATAATCGTCACTACCTGCTTCTGGACCCACCCCTGGAGTTTCCATATGAGCAACTCACGATCGTCAGCGGGCGTTTGGCCCCCTTTCGACATGCGCGCCTCCACTCTTCAGCTTACCTAGACGCGGATTTGCGGTAGTTAACACACGCTTTCAAGCATCCAGAGAGTCACTGGTGGGAAGAACGTGCAAAATGTTACGTTCTGGACCAAAAATGACAGCGCACCACGTCAACGACTTGTATAAGTGCGTCCAACGCGCGAGCATTTGGTTTAGGATCCGAGCGCTTGACATCTCAATGTGACTGTCACCCACCAATCTGCGCTCATCCCTGCCAAAACGTACACCTGTGCGTCTATCCGCATTGTCATATATTGAGATAATCCAAAGACAGAACTCTGTAGACCTCGGACGTTTTCGGAATTGAAAGCTGATTTGACGCTGGGGTTGTTATTGTTGGAGTCTTGGATTATTTGTTGTCCAGTCTGCGAGAATCGTGGGCACAATGCGTCCGATGGTACGAACCTTTGCAAGTCGAATAGCCCTCGCGGTTCTGTACGACCTGGTGTATAGCAAGGCGTGCATCATACGCGACCTTCTCTTCGGTACGCCGCTCTGCAGTGTATGTACACGTGTGTCTTTCCCATTAATACAATATCTCTCGTAGTGCATTTCCTGGTAAGGTCTTTTCTATAATGAGTTCCGGCCTGCACTGATCTCCCGTGTTATCGTCAGGGTTTCTTCGGCGTTTCTGTCCGATTCTGCATACTCACTACTACATCAGAGAGCGGCTGGAATATAGCTGTCTGTGGTGGCCATATGCCGGGGTGTGCCACTGTCGTGACTGCCTCGAGTTGTTGCTCCGATGTTCTGGTCGACTCATAGAGCGCCCCCGATCGGAAGAGTAGGTGACAGCTGACCGCTTTCTATCCTTTGACAAGACGATACCATTCTCAGGCCATCAGCGCGCAATACCACGGTGCAGGCAGGCAATTATGTCTGAATTGCCGTGGTTTATGCGGAAGCTCGAGAGTGCTCCCTAAGGACCTCCGCCAATGAATCTAGAGACAGGTTCTCCGACTTCGTTCTAATGCCACTGGCGGCTGGGCTAGGTCGACGGGCCGCCCATGGACGGCGGCAGCTGGGGATCCACTGGGGGTCGCAGGAGACGACTAATTCACGACTGGTCCTCGGACGGCGTGCGCTCCCTTTCTTTCGATGCCCATCTGTCTTCGCGGATGGGTCGCAGGTCGAAAAGTGGTCTTGTCTGTGCACAGCAAGCGGTGTTTGTCATCCTCAGTCATTGGGCGTCTACTATTGCTCTTGAGGGAGAACGAGGTGAACATAACTCAACGTAATTGCAAAATCACCACCAGAGTCTTCTCCAGCATTTACGCTCTGCCGTAATGAGTAGAACTTTCAATTCCGCGTTCGCTCTGTCCCGCTGCGTTTGTGGATGGCGTTGCCCATTGAAAGCGTGCTCGGTATGAATGCCGCCTGTTCTGCTTCTTGATTTCAATACTGTACGGGCTGTCGGTCAGGTGTACAATGTTATCTGGTGCGTATCCAGTGCAAATTCGATTCAAACCTCTGCGTTCCCCTGACCGTTTGACGTTAGGAACGTGACCGACGAGCCGTCTTGGAAGAGTCATCCTCGCCAGGAGTGGAATCGGAATTTGTGACAAGGCGGCTGGGAGCTTCAGTTTATACGCCGCAAATAAACCTCTTTTCATGGCTTTGCGCACAGGCTTCACCCTGGCCAGCGACTTTGTCTTCTCGGTTTTCTTTTGTAGCAATGAGTATGACTTGCTCTGAGATGTCTCTGGCGGATAATTGCGCTGTCACTGGTATGTTCCTCCATCCCCTCGCACTCCGAATTGTGCTTATGGTCCTCGAATAATCTTCGATATCAGCTCATAATTATTGGATGAAGACGCTCCAGCCGGTGTCAATGGTGCAGTTGCGCCATTTTGCGCATCTCGCATGTCTCGGAAATTTCGAGTTGTTATGCTAAGTAGTGCTGTACAGAACGGAATATGGCGTAATTACATATTTGCCAATGGTGTGTCTCATTATCATGAACAAAGACATTAGTACATCCCTGACGAATTAGGATTCTACCAAGAAAGGCGAAAACCATCTAAATTATACTGAACAGGCAGGATTGAGTGACACAGGAGTTCTTACGACCTAGAATGCCCTCTATGTTGTATTTTCTACAGCCTTTCTTTTCGTTTTCGCATACATGAAGACGCGAAGAAGTTCGTTGATGCTCCCCCTCTTGGAATTTCAAGAGAAGCTCGAATCTTGCCTTTTGTTTCCACCTTGCTCAGTGTTAGAGGAAGACGTTGGACATGGTCTTGGTTTGACCCACCAGCTTCACCTGTCGTTGTGTCCGTGTCAGTGTCACCCGTGAACATGACTTCATTTCGGCACGCTTGGAACACAATGGCTCTGGATTCCTTCGAACATCCTTTGGCACTCCGTGACAATGTCGAGGAAAAAGCTGGTCATCACCGGTCAAGTAACATATCGACACGAGAAAAATGGACATGTCCGGGATCGAACCGGACCCCTCTCGCAATCACGTGAATACCATGCTAAGCGAGCGTGATAAACCAACTACACCACATGCCCGTTCTACAACAAGTATCCACAGTTTGTATGAGGAGTGCCGATCGCGTCGCGTGCCCCGTGAGCAACGCCATGCCTCTCCCGATCCCGCACGCCTCTCCTGACCGTGAGATCATCTGCCCTGCTGTTGCGGCCGACGACGATGACAATGCTGCCGCGACCGGGCCCCCCATGATGCCTGCATGTAGCTGGTGCTCGTACATCTCATCTCCAACCTGTTGGCACCTGTGCTGCCCCTGCTGTCTTTTGCCATGGCTTCTTATGAGACATTGTAAGATCAGTAGGGTCAGGAGAACTGTCACAGAATTTCATGGCGTCTATCTTATCTACAGCGCTTAGATGA